ATTTGATTATGTGCAAATGGGTTCCGAAGAGTTAGCGATGGTTTGGCCATGACTTGCGGTTGATGTACTCTACAGGCATAAGGAGTTCATTATGTGTTGTGATTTTGCTTTACGGGATTGAGTTAGTGGAAGGTTTTCGGTTGATGGGATGTCTATCCTACTTGTGATTCAGAGTTGAAAATAGGATCTCATATTTCCATATGATAGCATGATAGAGGTGGTATGCCGTGTGGGATTGAGATTTCATGGCCAGGGTTGCGGTTCAGTTTTGAAAGGAAGGCCATAAGTTCTAGATGGCATGGGAGATCTCAGATGTTTAGAGGATGTTAGTACTACCTTGTATAGCTTGAGGGGTGTGCATGTTAGGAGAAGCATTGTGTTTTGACTTGTTGATGCTTGAGCGGTATTACGGTAATTGCCTGGTCTTGGCTGCTCAGGTCAAGTTTTGCTACGTGGCACAGAAGATTTTTGTGTGTATTTTCAATAGGATGATTGTGTATGAGTGAGGTGTCAGTAATTGAGTAGTGGAGTTGGGATCGGATACAAAGACTGGATGTTCTCAAAGGCAGATTATTCCTTAGTTGTGGACTATGAAGATATGTTATGAGTTAGACAGTTGATGGTATGTGTTATGGATAGGTTACTGGGGATTTTTTGAAGGCTATTTACCCATTTTGGGATTATTGGAAATGGTTTGGGGCCCATTGTTAGGCCTAATGAGAATTTGTATTCTACATAGGATCCGGTTTGCTAACTCTTGCACAGCATTTACAATGGTTATTTCATCGGGCAGAACGGGTGTTATTCGTGCTCTGGTTTGTTTCATATGTGCTCTCTTATGCTACGATGGACTGTGAGACTACTTGGCTATTCACACGCATGATGTGGTTCTGTTTTAGCCTGATGGCAAGATTTGGAGGGAGATCGCTCTTGGGATGTTGAGTTTCTTATTGCACCTTAGTCATGCTTTTTACTATCGGTGGTATATTCTGCTATCCGTTTCTCTATAGTTATGGTCATGCATTTCACGCGTTTGTTGTTGATACACATGTGGTTGTTGGTTGTGAGCATTATGGCTCGATGGGTATGCTATGTGGATCGGTATGTTTGTATTGGGTCACGCACCGTAGTGGAGTTACGTTGGAATACGATCTTTGTGCCTGTTTTATGTGTTTTGATTCTCCCTTGTGAGGTGGGTTCACAGCGTTGTGCCTTGTGGTGGTATTTGTTGAATTTGTTAGGTAGTTCTCTTATTTGGCTCTCCTTCTATCTCTGGTTATATTCGAGTTGTTGCTTGTTGGAGGCACGGATTGCATCGTGTATGACTAGGTGGCATTTGGCATGGCTTGTTGGTCGAATAGCTTGTACTAGGTGAGATGAGGTATGTTAGAGGGAGAATGTCATTGGCAACTTAGAATTCATTAATGATTCTTGTTGAGCGAGAGAGCTCCATGACTTGTTGATCTGACGAGTGGTTATGAGCTTCTACGTGTTTTTCATCAATGGCAGAGTACAAAGGTTTGGAACAAAGTTTTATTTGATATGAGGTTTGTTACCGGTATCGGGTTTAATAGATGCTATTATGGTTAGAAGATAATACTATGAGTACGTTGGTTATGTGGTATATCGTGTGATTGTATCTTGGAATATAGTTATTGCTTGATGCATTTGTTTAGACTTATACAGTGTATAGATGCGAGATTAGGGTCTTATAATGAATTTCAGATGTTGGAGATCAAGTTCTAAGGCTTATGGACTAAGGTTGAAGAAGGGATCCTCAGTTAGGTTGTGTTGACGGGCTTATATGGATTAAAGTGATGTGGTAGCACCCATGGGTATGTACATGGTGAGTCGTAAAGTGATTTGATGGCTCTGGAACAACTCTCGACACGTTCAAGGATGAACGTATGTTTAAGTGGGGGAGAATGTAATGACTCGACTGGCCATTTCGAGCATTAACATTTCGTTCGGTGGTCTGAAACTTTGAGTAGCTTCATTGGAAGTATTAAAACTTGCGTGCGTGGTTGGTTTTGATTTTCGGAAATTTTGAGATTGATTAGGAAAGGTAATTCTCATTTTGGAAGCTTTAAGTTGAAGAGTTAACCAAGGTTGGATTTTTGTTTAAACGGTCTCAGATTTGTGTTTAAATGATTGCAATAGGTTTGTATGGTGATGTTGGACTTAGGCGTGTGTCTGGATTTGGATTTTGAGGTTCCTAGTTTGATTTGGCTTTTTTGGAAAAAGTTGTCAATTTGAAGGTTTAGAAATTTCATAAGTTTGACCATGAGTTGACTTTGTGGGTATCGGGTTCGGATTTTAGTTTCGGGACTTGGAATAGGTCTGTTTTATCATTTGGTACTTATGCGCAAAGTTTGTTGTCATTCCAAGTTGGTTTGATGAGAATTAGACGCTTGGTTGTGATTTTGGAAGTTCTTGAGTTTCATTATGATTTTGATGTGTTTTGGTGTTTGATTCATGATTTTATATGTTATTTGGATGATCTGAGCGCGCGAGCGAGTTCGTATGATGTTTATGTACTTGTTGGTATTATTGGCCGGGGTCCCGAGGGGGCTCGGGAGAGTTTCAGATTGGTTTCGAATTGTTTTTGCTAAGTTGAGCTTTGTTGGTTCTGGTTTTCTCGCATTTGCGATTAGGAGGTTGCAAATACGACCCTCGCATTTGCGAAGTTGTGGTCATAATTGCGACTCATAGCTACTGGGATGGGACCTCGCATTAGAGAGGATTGTGTCACATCTGCGACTATGGGGGTGTCCGCTTTTGCGAGTCATTCGTCGCTTTTGCGACTGGTCACTTAGGGAAGGGACTTCGCATTTGTGAAGTATTTTGTCGCAAATGCGACATTTGCTGGGTAGGTCAAGGTTCGTATTTGCGAGCCTTTGTCCGCTTTTGCGGAGGTCGCATTTGTGATCCCCTTGTCGCAAATGTGACATCTACAGCTGGTTATATGTTGTGTATTTCGGGACTTAGTCTCATTTTATCGTATTTTGATCCCTAGACTCTGTGGGAGGCGACTTTTGGAGGGGATTTTCACACATACCTTTTGGGTAAGTGATTTTTGTCTCAACTGTAAAATTATAACTTGATTTCTTATGGATTTTAATATCAAAATCATGAAATTCGAAAGAATTTTTTGAGGATTTTTTTACTATGTTTTGAAAAATAAATATTTAAGATTTGAGAGTCGAATTGGACTCGATTTGAAAGCTAAAAATATACTTGGACTTGCGGGATTATGGGTAGTCGAGATCTATCCCTTGACTCGAATTTTGATTGGGTGGGTCGGGGGTTGACTTTTGTTGACTTTTGGGAATTGGGTAAAGATTGCAACTTTATTAATTGAAATTGCTTCCTTTTGCATTGTTTGCTGTTATCGAGTCATTTTTTGTTAGATTTCAGCTGTGTGGAGGTGATTTCTAAGGGAAAGGCTATTTTTGAGTATTGATTTGACTTGTTTGAGGTAAGTGTCTTTCTTAGCTTTTGAGAAAATTTTTCCTATTAATTGATATTGTTTGCTACATGCGGGAGTGATATATATATGAGGTGACGAGCATATATACATGTGCCATGGGTATTCATGCTCTGGGTTGATTCTAGCTTACTCTAAATCTTGATTGGTTGTGTGTTTTACCTGATTCCATGTGTTATTTAATTAATCAATTACATGAGTACAATAAATAATGTTAGAGGAAATTTTGAGGCTATCGATACCTTTATGTTGAATATGATGAGCAAACCTTGAGACTTATGCTATTTTTGTCTCGAGGATAGATACACGTAGGTTATAAACACACATCCGGACTTGTTCTTGTAATGTGCCTTGGTTGAGACGTGTACACTCTGTGATACATATGTGCTCCTTCGTATGACTACTTGAACTTGGTTGCTATGCTTGATTTTATCATAGTCGTACTTTTTCCGCACTTTTGTTGTTAACATATCCTTTTGCTCTTTATTGATGAGTTATGAGGATGTGCCTCTTGATGATAAATTATTATCTTGGATTATTGTGATAATTGTGGCACATATGGACATGTTGTGCGAATTGATTTTAGATGTGTATGTAGCGACATAAGGGAGGCATTTCATTTTTGATGTGCATGCGGCGAGATAATGGTGGCTAGATGCGCATGCGGCAATATAAGGGAGGCAATTCATTGTGAAGTGCATGCGGCGAGATAAGGGTGGCTTATGTGTATGCGGCGACATATGGGAGGCATTTCATTATGATATGCATTCGGCGACATAATGGTAGCAGTGTGGGGATTTTATGTGATAGCCTGGGGGAGATTTCCATTGACTATGTTTGTATGGTGGTATAAAAAGGGGTATTCTTATTTGTGTTTATGACTTCTTATGTGTGCCATGCATTTTTACATGATTTGATATGTTATTTCTAACATGCTAATCGATGCCTCTGTTATTACTTGATGATTTTGTTGCCAAGTTGGATCTACCTAGTGGAGTTGATATCTCATATTTTGTTGATTTATTGGTAGCACAATTGATTGACGACGTGAGGAAGTTGTCATCATGCATTAATATATTTAACTCTTGAAAAGTTCTTGCTACACCCTGTACTTCTGTAATATCGTATATTGTGTAAATGACTTGCTAAGCATGGTTTAAATTAGTTTAAAGTCATAATATAACTATATATGATGTTTGGACATAGAATATAAAGTTTGAAAAAAGTCACATTTAAGTTGCGGAAAAATCGACTAAGGATTTGCCTTGTAACGAAACTTTTTTAGAAATTAATTTCGTGTGTTATGAGGTCTTTTGGGGACATATTATATATCAAATTGAAGGTGTTGGAATGTATTTTCCAACGCTCTTGACCGTTCATTCATACGATGTCCGGATAAAGAGATATGAGTGTCGGAAGAAGGGTTGGTGAAGCACACATATGGTTGACTTTTCAACCTTACTATAAATTGAAGTCTTAGTCTTCTATTATCTTATTTTCCAGTAAATTCACGCACAACAGAGCTTCCATAGCTCTCAAAGAAGTTCCTTAGGGTTTTGAAGCAAGTCCATCATCTGCAACTCAAAATTAAGAAGCGAACACATCAATGCGATCCTTACGACATAGGTAAGACTTTGCCGTCCTCCTTTCTCCTTGTAACTCAAGTTTTGGATAGAGCTTCGTGGCTTAGAAATCTTGTCACCTCTGTATTTTAGCTATACAAGCATAAGGAGGGGTGTGGATCAAAAGAAACAAGGTTTGGAAGCAAGAACACAAGAGGTATGTAGGGTTTTCATTTCGTTTTCGGCATGATTTAGTTTAGCTATATTCTAGCCTTTCTTCTTGATCTTTTAAGATTTTTCAACAGAAATTTCAGCATGTATTGTATCCTTGCATAGTATTCAATTCCATATGTGAAGTATATAAGAAACTAGTGTAGGTTGGAACTTCAAAACACAACAAAAATAAAAGGGGCGAATCGCCCATTTGGCCTATGCCATTCGGACTTTTCGTTTGTTCCGTTCCTTTGATGTTTTTATGTATAACTAACCCCCATATGATCCTAATAGCTTCATTTAAGATTTCAGGAATATCAGTCAAGGCATCAGCTTTTCCACAAAAATCACTTAGACAGAAATTTATCAAGGCAAACTGTAATTTCAAGCTCTAAACATCAAGTAGAGATATCAAATACCAAATAGCATGAGAAAAATACAACTCTATGCCTGCTTATCAAATATACATATGCCAAACCACCAATTTTACAGTTAAATCATCAAGTATAAACAAATCTCACCACCTTCATAGTGCGTGGCACAAGTACCCATAAGTTGATACCTGGCATAATGCCCCTGAATCATACTCTCATCACTCTCATGGTGCCTGGAAAAATGCCCATGGATCATCACACACACACACACACACGAACACTCTGTACTGTATAAATATTTGACATTAGTCCCTCACCAAGCATATATCAAGGCCTGCACTCACAAGCCCAAAGTAACATGGGTTATCACTTGACTCTAGAGGAGCGGATCCTAGCCCAAGCACTGATCGGATCAAAGTCAACGATCAATGTCACTCAGCCCAATATAGGGCCTGGCGCACGCGTCACCTCACTATCAATACCACTCATCCCAATATGGGGCCTGACGTACGTGTCACCTCACTATTAATATCAACAAGGCTCTATGACACTAGATCTGTCATCAATCCGCTCAAGTCTCAAAATGCTCACATTTCACAGTACCATAATCAAAATACCACATAGAATATACCAATCATATAGCAACTCAGCCCAACCCGTGTCACACAATAAGGATACCAACAACATGTGAGATAACATACGAAAAGTGAACAGAGATAGAGATATAATATGCGGATATAATATCATGATTGAAAATATGACTACAATTAAGGTAAACAACTCAACATAGCAAAAATAGCCCTATTACATCTAAAACAGATAAGCACATAGCCTAGACATGATTTCTAGCATGAATAATAGCTCACGTAGTCATACAAGTGAAGAAAATACGGTATCAAAGAGGCATGATAGCAAAACAAGGCATATAATAGCATATACGCTCGTCACCACGCATATACGTCACCCCCCAACATATAACAAATATCATGGCTAACGGGGAAATATCTTCAATCCAAGTATAGGCAAGATACTTACCTCATCCGGGCTAGTCTTCAACCTTGAGTCACATTAAAATCACGCTCTAGCCCTCCACTCACGTAAATCCAAGCCAAACATCATCTAAGAAAATTAACAATGTCATACGAAAGGATCCTAATCTGTAAAGCTTTGATCTTTGAAGAAATTTTCAAAAGTCAACAAAAATCAAACGGGCTCGCATGCCCGAAATTCGAAACCAATACAAAAATTCGATTATCCATAACCTGTCGAGTCCAAATTTATAATTAGTTTTCAAAACTGAGTCTAAATCGATACTCAAATCCCCAAAATGCACTATCTTAAAATGTAGACAAAACCCCCAAATTTTCCTCCTTAGATTCATCAATCAGATGCCAAAATCGAAGATAGAATAATGAATAATAATCAAATCCGAGTGAAGAATGCTTACCCATCTACGTGGGCTTAAATCGCCTCAAATATCGCTCCAATCCGAGCTCCTAATCTCAAAATATGATAAAATGAAGCTACCCTCGAAAATAACATTCTACCAGGCATCCTCGCTCTTGCACACCTCTAGCTTGCATGTGCGAGCTCGCTTTTGCGAGTCCCTTACTTGCGTCTACGAGTTCCAATAGAACAGGACTTAGTCATATCTGCGACCCTACCGCTGCATCTGCGAAGCTACAAGTGCGACTCCACAAGCGTAGAAGTGCGACTCCTCAGTCCACCCCACCTGCGTAGGTGCGCACATACATCTGCAAGTGCGACTCTGCACTTGCGACCTTACTTCCACAGAAGGAGCCAAACTCGAGGCCTCACCAGCTTCACATCTATGAACACCTCACGCGTAGGTGCGACTTCGCATATGCGACCAATGCTCTACAGATGTGATGCACCAGAACCAGCAATCCATACAACTCCGAAATGGTCTGAAACCGACCAGAAACACACCCAAACTCCTCGGGGCCCCGTCCAATCATATCTACAAGTCCAAATACAATATTCAAACTATCTGAAAGCTTGAAACACCACATTTAACATCAAATTCAAGAATCGAAGATCATCATTCTTTTAACTTTCAAACCTTCGAACTTCGCCGAACGCATCCGAATCACACTTAGACATCTCAGATCACAATCAAACTTTCCACTTGTATTCCAATCAACCAAATAAACCTATCTGAAGTCCCGAAATACCAATCAAATCCTGATAATACCAAAGTCAACTTCCGATAAAACCTATGAACTTTCCAATTCTTCAAATTGCCAACTCTCGGCAAATAGGACCAAATCCTTCTAGAGACATCTAAATTTAAATACGAACATACGCCCAAATCCAAAATTATCATGCGAACCTATTGAAATCATGAAATCTCTATTTCGAGGTCATTTACTCAAAAATCAAACATTGGTCAACTCTTCCAACTTAAAACTTTCGAATTGAGAATTACTCTTCCAAATCAACTCCGAACCTTTCAAAAAACTACTGAAAGTCTCAAACCGCCGAACGAAATGCTAAAGTTCAAAACGACCGATCGAATCGTTACAATAGATAGAAGTAGATAGGGATAATCACACATCTCTATTGCACTATAAGACATTAAGACCCCACCACAGCCTTTTAGATGGCACTTTTCAAGATCGGTCGTGTAACCGTTTGCTTTTTGGGTTTTAGATAAATTAATTTCTAAATCTCCAACAAATTATTCAGCACACAACTAATCTTTACGCGTCACCCTATAAACGGATAATCTACAAACACGCGCCACTAACAAATGTAGGTATGTACGTATGGCCATGGGCTCTCAAACCAGATAAGTCTCCGCGTCATCCTCCTTTACACCTAGCTCGTACGGCACAATCGCCAATATCCGCGTAGACGAATTTTCTTCAACGGATTTTGGGGCAATCCTTTATCTTCTCCTCCTTCTGTACTTTTTCAGAATCCTATTATCCGGTCGCTTGAAGATAAAGCAACTTATTTCTCTCTTCCTATACGCAATAATTCTGTCATCTTTTTTTCTAATTTAAGTTTCTGAATTTTCTCTCTCTTTGGAGAAACAGGCGAAGGAAAAAAAAGGAGTTTTGTTATTAAAAAAGAGAGGATAATTATCAGTCAAAATAACATTATCCATTTGCCTCGTTTTCTGTAATTTCCATTCTCATATTATATTTTCCTCTGCAATTAATTTTCTCCAATTTCCTTTAGAGAAAAAAAAGATGATGAGAAGGCAACAGGATCAACAATCCAAGGTTTTCTACGAGCTCTCTTCGTTGATTTTAAATATCCTAAGATCACCACCGGGGCCGATTGACGAATCTTTGGCGGTGTCTCCGTCGTCTTCAGGAAGGAGGACGGCGGTGGCAGGATCGATGCAGCATATTACTCCGGCGGGATTTGCTTCTCTGCTTTTGGGGATTTCATTTGCTTTGATGCTATGTGGATCTGTGACTTTCTTTATTGGATTCTTAATGATGCCTTGGGTGCTCGGTTTGGTCATGGTCTTTTACGTGGCTGGGATTGTCTACAGTTTGTCTATGATTGGACGAGCTATTTTCTGCCATATATCTTCTCCGCCGTCACCGCGAAAAGATTTTCGGCGTAAGACTTTTTTCCTCTTTTATCTAAAGTTTGCGTATTTATCACTGTTTTGTTGATCGGAACATGCCATGTCGTTCTTATAGAAATATGTCTTTACGGTAAAAAAACGTAATCATAAAATTAAAGAATTTCTAAATTTTGAAGTTTCCATTTTGAGAAAGAAAAGAGTATCATATGCAAAATAGAACTGAAGTAACGCCAATTGTTCCGTGAATAGTGGAGAATGTTAATCTTCGTGGACTTCATTCTTGTTTGTCTCTTTCAAATGTTGTAACTTAGTTTCAATGATAATTCCTGTTGTCAATGGATAAGTTTTGACGAGATAAATGCTCTGTTTTTATGCCCTTGTAATAGTAGAATTAAAATGGCAACGATGTGGAATGCTTTGACTTATAGTTATAGGGCCATTATATTGGCTGAAAACAAGTATGTCTATACATAAGCTTGAGGAGGTTGGCTTGGACAGAAGTACATGTTTATTTGGAAGTGGACATAACATTTTTTTTAACCGCAGAAAATTGGAAGTCGAATTAATTCGGATAATCTTGTGGGTGACATTTTTCTGTCCTTCTAATGTTTAATTTCTATGACTTGATAATTTGGAGCTAACACCTTTACTTCTTAAAGTCTTATCCTGTAATTTTTTTCCTACTGTCAAAAGAGTAACTTACTTTTCATTAATCTATCTGTATGATTACATTATGTTTGAGTTGTAGAAATTACTGGATGATCCACATTTAAAGCATATTGGCTTAGTATGTGAATATCAAATAAGGTCGTAATAGTTAACTTTGTACAGTTTCAACTCAAGGTTCCAATAAGGTAGAGGGTTTTGATTCTTTCAGTAGTGAGAAATTCTTTCTTACGGCTTTCTCTCTAGTAGTAGATTAGTAGTTGTTTGTGGACTTCACATTTAAATCAGTGTTGTCAAAGGCTCATTTGAGGTGCGCTTGAGCCCTGAAGAGTGTAGGCAAGGCACTAAGGCGTGCACCTTATTGGCTATAAGTTCTACCTTGAATAAAGTGGTACA